TGCTAAAACTATGGACAGGTGTCTAAGGTGGTTAATATTTAACTTCTTCATCTGATTCTTGATGTCTGCATTCTTTGCTATTCATGAGAGTTATAATCAGCCATATATTAAAAAACAGACCTTTCATTTTTTCCTGGCTCAAACTAGGATTAAATGTGATGCTTGCAAATTTCCAGGAATTTACCAGAGGGTTTTTTTTCTAGAACTTGGAAGATAAAATCCTCCTTTAAAAAGCTGCTGATAGTGAAAAACCTGACATCAGTTCTAAATTATATTTTCCTTCAGCAATATTAAAAGAACAATTTCCATTTGAATTTGACTCCTTTGACAGTATTTATAACTCTTATTTGCATTGAGAGAAACCTACCATTGTCACTCTAAAAATAAAGCACAAGTCTATAGCTATTAATATAAAGTTAGCAAACTTTTAAACTTAGCAAACATTTAAACTTTAAATTTTAACATTTAAACTTAACAATTAATTTAGGAGACTTTAAATATTTAGTTAATTAAAAATAAAAACAAGCAGGCAAATAACTTCCTTCTTTAAAATAAAAGGAAAAGAAAGAAAAAGAAGATAAAGACAAAGAAAATAAATTCAGACACTTTCCATTGTAATAGTTAATCTCTATGAATTATTTTGTGGGTTGTTAATACTCTTATGTTGTTCATTTGTTTTATACAATAATAATCGGCTATGTTTTATCGTCAAATAAAGGGGTTTTCTTGGATGGAGTTGGGGAGTCATTTTAACAAAAGTTATAAATTATTCAAATATGCATGCTTATCTTTCCTATATTTTTATTCAGAAACACAAAGGTAACAAGTATATCTGTTCTATGAAAGAGAAATGAACAGACAGAATGCTTGAGTGTCCTGTGGATTACTAGTCATAGTAATCTGCATTAAATCCACTAATAAAATGTTCTTACAATATAAAAGAACCTGAAATAAAACTGCATACCATGTAAGAGAGACTAAATATGCAAAAAATGCTAAATTTAGCCAACAGAAACTTAACTACAAAAAGGATAAAAAAAATTTCGGGTTTTGTAAATGAGTGATGTTACCATATTAATGACATTATAGCTTCTATTTAAGAACATTTTATGTACAGGAATCCTAATAGGTTATGTAAGACATTCATTCCAATGGTCATTTCCACCTATGCTTCCTAAATTCGCCTATTTTTCTTCTATTTTAATTTATGCTTTTAAAATTTTTATCATTGTTGCCTGTTTTATTTCCCTCTCCTTAGAAACTCTATTCGGAATGTCCCAGGTTGCAACTTGGGAATCTTTTTAAACCACTATTATTGCCCCAACTTGTCCACCACCCTAGGTAATTTTAAAAATCAGATGGATTTGGGAAATACTGTCCTATGCTAATCATGAGAGATGGGAAGCAAAGCTTTTATTTCTGACACTGATCCAAACAAAAACATCTATGCAGCTTTATTATAAAATTCAATGTATTTTAGAGAGGACATTTATAAATATATCTGGAAAAAGTTCTCATGTATGCCATTGTCACCTTTAAAAAATGAAGACACAACATATTTTCAATGTACCACTTTATATAATTATCTTTTAAGCAATTTCTGTATAACACAAAATAGAACAAGGCATTTCCTTTTTCTTCTTTTCTTTTTAAGAAAGTACTTTTTTTTGCTATAAGGCTCATGCACTCAATGGAGAGACAAGAGAGAAGAAAGTGAGAAATCACCCCCTGAGGCGATGGCCACAGTCCTTTCTCCTCCATTGTCCTCTTGGGACTTTGGGCACGCACACGCACCTGGTACAAGTTACAAGTTGCCAGATCTGGGACTGAACTGTGATCAACCATGTGGGAGTTCAGCACCTTACCCACTACATCCCCTGCTGGCCCTGAATAAGGTATTTATTGTTACTAGAGACAGACTTAAAAAAGGAAATAAGGGCCCAGCTGTGATGATGCACAGATAAAGCCACTGCTTGCAAGGTTGGAGACAACATGGGGGGTGAAGGCAGACGTGGTTCCTAGGTTGACCCAAATAGGCATGGCTGAAATCGTAGCTCATATGGAGCCTAAAAAAGAAGGCTCACAGAGCAAAACTTTTCAAAAAATGCCTCTCTCTGTCTCTCCCCCTTTCCATCTCTGTTTACCTCTCTTTCTCATAAAGAATAAAAGAAAAGATGGGGCAGCCGAGTGACGTGGTGGTTAAGGCATTGAACCCTACAAGGCTAAGTGTGTGGCTGGAGTCTCAAACCTGGAGGTTTGGAAAGTATTCTGGCACATGTACTTGCATCCCCAAAAATCCCAAGAGGAGAATGGAGGGGAAGGGATTGTAGCATTGTCATCCTCACTGGTGAGGTGATTTCTTACCTTTTTTCTCTTTCTCTTTCTCTCTCTCTCTGTCTCTCTCCAGCAAGTACATGCACCCTATAACAAAACAAAACTAAACTAAAAGGAAAGAAAAAAATATATATATAATGAATTACCTTTAAAACTTTTGTTTCATAGTCCTTCTAGATCAATAAGAAATTACCTTTTCATTTTTTGCTGAGTCACTGCCACTACAGTTATAATTCAAATCTCTAATGAGATATTTCATATTAAATCTAATCTGGAATTTCTAAGCAAATGGTGGTTTTGACCAAAGCTTGAAAAGAAGTGGTAGCACATTCTACACAAAAAGTAAATGGGGGGAACCAGCAGTTAGCGTAATGGGTATGTCGCTGGACTCCCACGTAGTTGACCGCAGTTTGCGTCCTGGACCCGATGGCTTAAAACTCACACCGGGCGCGTGTGCGTGCGTGCCCAAGATCCTGAGAGGAGAATGGAGGAGAAGGGATTGTGGCGTGACCATCCCCCCTGGGGGCTGATTTCTCGCTTTCTGTCTCTAATGTCTCTCTCTGTCTGTCTGGCGAGTGCACGCGCCCTATAGCAAAAATCTCTCCAAAAAAAAAAAAAGTAAATGGGGACCAGGTGGTGGTACAGCAGTAACATGCCAAGTTCTACGAGGCAGTCTTACATGGGAGGGTACCCAGTACACTTCTGGAGACTTCCTTAAATAAGCTGGGCACACATGTGCTGACGATCTGGGGCTGGCTGGTCTGGGGGGTAGGTCATGGTATCAGGACCCTGTTGAGTATTCTCTCTCTCTGTCTCTCTCTTTCAGAAGAAATAAACATTTTAAAAAAGTAAAGTGTGATTTTATGCATTTTACCTAATTCTTTTTATGACTAAGAACTAACTTGAGCAACCAGGAGATGATGCAGTGGTAATACTACTAGACCCACAAGGAGAAGGTACCAGGTTCTTGTCCTGGAACCTCCCTGAGCACACTGGACCTGTCATATGCAGTGCTGGCTGAAACAAGGGGTGGATGGAGATGTGGAAATCCTGCT